ATAATGGCCTCACGCATTTTATGGATGTTTTGAAAAATTTAACTGCATTATCAAAATGTCTTACTGTGACAATGGTGAAATGGTTTTAAAAGTACGGCCGAGCACAACGGTTTTTAATTGTGCGTATTTCGAGTCCAGCATTTTCTAATTGAATGTGTTTCGAACCCCACTTATATTCCCAGCCCAGTCGTTTTGTATAAGTGTATTTCCAACGCCACTTATACTTCGGGTCCACCAGTTGTATATAAATATATTTCATGCGTCATGTATTTATTTGTTTGGCCCAGGGACGAACCCTATTGAAATTGATGAGAATCGGTTCAAATTTAGATATAGCTCCCACATATATCTTCAACCGATTTCGTGTTAATTGTGCACCAAATGGCCAATATCAGTCCAAATGCCCTGAATTGTGGGACTTCCGACCTTGGTGAAAATCATTCCAGATATAGCCATAGCTTCCATATATATGTTTCATCCTATTTGGTTATGAAATCGCTGGCTTACGTGAAATGCAATCTATAACAATCATGTTTAGTACCAGATATCCCATAAATATTTTCATCCGATTTCGCAATAAGTGCACCAAATTTTTAAAAAGTAAAATCCTTTAAAAGTTCTGTTAAAATCTTAAAAACACCGAATATAAGCGTAATATTGGGGCTTATACGACGTGGACCTACATAAGCATTTTTTGTCATAAGCAATTATTCGAAACGTGAAATAAACGGTGAATGATGTAGCTAAAATCATCAAAATACCGTATATAGGGAGGTACCGTTATATCGGAGCTATACGAAGACCTAGACCTGCATAGACAATTCTTTGTCACAGGCTGTAGCATCTATTACGAACTTCAAATACGACATCTCAAACAATTTCGGTACCGCTTTGTGGGCGCTGTACGAAGACGTGAACCTGCACAGACAATTTTCTATCGTAGGCTGTAGTTTCCATTTCAAATACCAATTTTGAAACAATTCCGGTGAATAATGTCGCTAAAATCATCAAAATACCGAATATCGGGAGGTACCATATACACAGATGTGGACCGACATGGCCCATTTTCAATACCAAAAGTCCTAATATACATTTGAATAAAATTTTATCAATATACTTCAATTCGTTCGGAAGCTAGAGTGATCTCCACAGCCGGGCGGACGTCGCTAAATCGACATAAAATTGTATGCTAATTATATTTCGAGGTGGTACAAATGGAATGACAAACTTAATTATCCTCCATACTATGGTGGAGATATAATAATAGGTTACTAGCCCGTTCTGTAATGAATACGACCGACTTCAGCCTGGAAGAATGTGTGCCAAATTTGGTAAAAATCGGTTAAGATATAGTTACATGTTCCGTATATATGTTTCATATGATTTTGTATTTAGCTTTATAGACATCTTTTCCGATTTGATATAATCTCCAGCCGACTTCAAGAAATATATCATATCGATGTATTTAGCTTTATAGACATCTTTTCCGATTTGATATAATCTCCAACCGACTTCAAGAAATATATCATATCGATAGAATGGATTTTAATGAAACTCGGTTCAGTCACAAATGCCTCCATCTAATTTAGCGGAAACCGATTTACAATAAGTCATAGTTGGGATGATCTGCTCCTCATAGATTCCCCATATAAACGTTTACTTATACTACGGATAGCTCTACTTAATAAGCATAGTGCTGTATGGTTTCACAAAGTCGGCCCCGCCCTACTTTTGACTTTTCTTTACTGGTATCTTTACAATACACTCGTTAAAAAATCTGATACAGCTTGGAAATATTTTTGTTCAAATCCATTAGGATGTAGCTCACATACATCGGAATTTAAACATAACTGTAATGCCGCAATGCGCACTAAATAACTATCCTAAACGTATATTTGTACGAGTTGAACTACTAAATATTGCTAGTATTGTGAGGTATTACACAGTCGGCTCCCCTTGATATTTGTCCTTTTCCTACTAGTCAGTAATGGTGTAGTTGTTAATTGAATGAAGAATGTCGGTATTTTTCATTTTAAAAATTAATGCCGGGAAATTCCAAATAACACCTCTTCTTAGCAAGCCCTGCAAACTGGTACCTTGAATTGGATGCTCTTTTGACAAACCAGTTTCCAAGAATATATTTTCTTTTTAAAAGAATCTCCTCCTTTTGTGTTGGTCCATTTTAATCGATAATATTACGAGTATCTTTGTAAAGAAATTCCAAACCTCGGAAATGCTATGCCCTTCTTCTAAAAAATCAAGTTTTTGCCAAAAAAAACCCCAAGATTACTTATTGTCGTGAGTAGGATTGTATATTTGTGAATACATACATACACTCGGGGAACACCATTTGTTTAATAATGGCTTTGTTGTGTTGCCCCCCCCCCCCTACGCTCATCGATTTACTCACGCATCGTTATCAGTTTTTATACTCTCACCCATACATTGTATGAATGGTATTTTAAGTTCGCCATTCCGTTTGTAATTCATCGAAATAATAATTTTAGACATAACAGAGTATATTCTTGATCAGCGTAAAATTCTAAGACGATTTAGCCCCGTCCGTCTGACCACATATCGCAATCACGCTAGAGGCGAAAGAATAAAGATAGCAAACTAAAATTTTGCACGGATCAGTCTTTTATCTATATCGGTCCACGATATGGTATTGCACAGATTAATTATAGTTTGCAGGCAAGTCAAGTTCGAAGATGAGCTATATCGGTCCACAATATCTTATAGCCCCCACATAACGGTACCCCCCGATATTCGGTATTTTGATAATTTTAGCCAAATTTGTCAAAAGGAGTTCCTTCTTTTTACTTTACCCCCAGGAAGAGCATTGTCTATATAGGTTCGCAATATCGCATATCCCCCAGTATCCGGTACTTCCCTATATTGGGTATTATTTAAAACTCCATACTAGAAGTTCTTTCTAAGCACTTAACCTGAAATGTCGATATGGGTACACGATATCGAATAGCCAACAAACAACGGTGCCCCCCGATATTCGATATTTTGACGATTTTAGGGGCATTATTTACCCGAGTTGTTTCAAATTTCGTAGTTAGAATTCGTAATGGGAACTACAGCCTGTGACAGGAAATTGTCTATGTAGGTCCAGGTCTTGATATAGCCCCGATATAACGATGCCTCCCGATATTCGGTATATGGGGATTTTGGATACAATATTCACCGAAAGTGTTCGAAATTTGAAATATTTGTTGTTCCTAATAGGTACTACAGCCTGTGATAGAAAATTGTCTGCCTAGATCCAGGTCTTCATATAGCCCCGATATAACGGTACTTCCCGATATTCGCAAAGCCTAAGACAGAAAATTGTTTGTGCAGGTCCAGGTTTTAGTATACCCCCCATGTAGTAGTACCTCCCTATATTCTGTATTTTGATGATTTTAGCTACATTATTCACCGGAATTGCTTCAAATTCATAATTCATACAAAAGCAGAACATTTTCGTATAGCCCCCATATAACAATACCTCCCGAATATTCGGTATTTTGATGATTTTAGCGAAGTTATTCACCGGAATTGTTTCAAATTTGGCATTTGAAGTTCGCAATGGATGCTACAGCCTATAACAAAAAATTGTTTGTGCAGGTCCAAGTTTCGGTATATCGCCTATATAATGGTACCGCCCTATATTCCGATTTTGATGATTTTTTTCAAGTTTCGCATTTGAATATTGTAATGGCTTATGACAAAAGTTGCCTGTTCAGGTCCACGTCTCTGTATACCCCTAATATAACGGCTATATTCGGTATTTTTAAGATATTAACCGAATTTTTCACGAAATTTAATTTATTTATTATTATTATTATTATTATTATTATTATTATTATTATTATTATTATTATTATTATTATTATTATTATTATTATTATTATTATTAATATTATTATTATTATTATTATTATTATTATTATTATTATTATTATTATTATTATTATTATTATTATTATTATTATTATTATTATTATTATTATTATTATTATTATTATTATTATTATTATTATTATTATTATTATTATTATTATTATTATTATTATTATTATTATTATTATTATTATTATTATTATTATTATTATTATTATTATTATTATTATTATTATTATTATTATTATTATTATTATATTATTATTATTATTATTATATTATTATATTATTATTATTATTATTATTATTATTATTATTATTATTATTATTATTATTATTATTATTATTATTATTATTATTATTATTATTATTATTATTATTATTATTATTATTATTATTATTATTATTATTATTATTATTATATTATTATTATTATTATTATTATTATTATTATTATTATTATTATTATTATTATTATTATTATTACTATTATTCTTATTATTATTATTATTATTTATTTTTTTTTTTATTTTTTTTTTTTTGTTTTGTTTCTTTTTTTTTTTTTTTGTAGAAAATTTCCAAATCTACCAAATGGTGGAGGGTATTCACAGTTCGGCCCGGCCACATTTACTGCTTTTTTACTTGTTGTATACAATCTCTCCGCAATGTAAACAAAGCAAGCTTGAGCTCTCTCTCTCTCTCTCTCTCTTCTCTCACCATCTCATCTTATTCGCAGAAAACAAACCATGTCTTGAATCCACACATGCCGGTATTGAGATGGGCATGTGACGTTATCAATGCTATTCAATTTTAGACCTCTCTAGGTCATACAAAAAAGTAAGAACTGGCTTTTCCGAATTAAACGTCTCGATTCCTTGATAACTTATCAAAATAGCTAATCTCTTTGAACTATATTTAATGAAATACTTGTAATTTGTTATTGTTAATTATTTAATTTTGGTTTTTTTCTATTTTGCACTCGCACTCTTACAGCAGAACGGCATTTCCAGTTTTATGTTTGTAAACAAAACATTTCGATTCTCAGAATTTCGTATCATTGTTACAGGGGTTTATTTATAGCTTTCTTTCGCATTTTCAACACTCACCACACTGGATTTGCCACAGAAATATTATTGCAAATATTATTCCGAATTTTCTTTTGGTTTTAGTCATTTTCACCGAAGAGGAAGAATATTTTTTATTTTTGAGTATTTTTTTTTTTTTTTGTTCTATAATTTAATTATTGTTTCGGACATGATAAACCGGTCATTTGCTTGGTTATTCTTCTTTTCTGCGTTTGTTTTTTTTATTGTTACTTTTCTCTCTCTCTCTCCCCTGTGACCGCAACAAACGAATGCCCGTCCAACCTTATAACAAACCGCACAAAAGCATCCACTTGCTTTGGAAATCCATAGAACACTGACTTGAAAACAATCTCAAACTGAGATTCTCCCTTGAGAATGAATGAACCAAATCGTCGAAGTCTTAAAAGCTGCGCCCAAGTGCGAATACGGATGTTTGGATTAACCCATTGCGGACATGTTGCGACATTTATGTTCTACGTGTAGTTGGGTGACATTGCAGGCAGTGTGACCGCTGGAAATTTTCAAAAAGTATCACAAAAAGTATCATTTCTTGAAAAAAGTGGCACATGTCATTTTAACATTTTATTTAAAAAATAACAGTTTAGAACAAAACTGCAAATTCATCTATACATACATATTGCATATTTAACCAGTAAAGAAAGCCTTAAAGTCGGGCGGGGCCGATTTTATGATACCCTACACCACTTTGCTAATTTAGTAGCACTCCGCATAACAATTAAAAGTTTTTATGGGAGAACTCAATCATACACGCCATGATTATAATGATAATTTAAAGTTCAAAGGACTACATATGCCAAAGCATTTGTATCTTTTAAATTCGGACTTGTATTGCCCATTTGGTGCACAATTAGTTTGAAATCGGATAAAGATATATATGGGAGCTATATCCAAATCTGAACCGATCTCGATAAAATTTGGCAAAGATATTTCTGAGCTGTATTTGATATATTTCCCTGAATATCGTTGTTACAGAGTGCATATTACGGCTGCGGAGGACAAAATAACAAATCGGATGAACAATATATATGGGAGCTATAGCTATATCTGAACCGATTTCGATAAAATTTGGCATACTTATTTTCAGGCTTAATTTGGCTGTATGTGCAAAATTTGATACTATTCGGGCCGATATTACACGTTTGGTGCACAATAAAAGGCAAATCGGACGAAGAAATATATGGGAGCTATATCTAAATTTTGACCGATTATCTCCAATTTCAATAGGGCTCGTCCTTGGGCCAAACAAATGATTGGTGCAAAATTTCATCCGGATAGGGTAATAAATGCGAACTGTACTTTGTTTTCAAAAATACATGGACAGACAGACAGACGGACGGACGGGCGGACATGCATAAATCGACTCAGAATGTGATTCTATGCAGATCATCAAAAGGAACTATGGGTCTATCTAGTTTTCTTTTGCCTGTTACAAACAAATGCACAAAGACATAATACCCTGACCACCTTGTGGTGTAGGGTATAACAAGTAAACAGGTTAAAAAGCAGTAAGGTCGGCCGGGCCGAACTTTTAATACCCTCCACCATTTGCAACGAATTTGGAAATTTTCAAAAAACAAAATCCTTAAAAAATTCTGTTAAAATTTTAAAAATACCGAATATAGCCGTTATTTTGGGGTCTATACGACGTGGACATACATAGGCATTGTTTGTCATAAGCCATTACCATATTCAAATTCGAAACTTAAAATAAACGGTGAATAATGTAGCTAAAATCATCAAAATACCGAATATAGGGAGGTACCGTTATATGGGGGCTATATGAAGACGTGGACCTGCACAGACAATTTTCTGTCTTAGGGTGTAGTATCCATTTTGAACTTCAAATACCAAATTTGAAACAATTCCGGTGAATAATGTCGCTAAAATCATCAAAATACCGAATATCGGCAGGTACCGTTATATGGGGGCTACACGAAGACGTGGACCTACATGGCCCATTTACGAACATAACCTGCCTACTGGAAAAATAAACATAAACAATTCATTCGAAAGATAGCGTGATTACAACAGACAGACAGACGGACAGACAGACGGACATCGCTAAATCGACTTAGAATTTTACGCTGATCAAGAATAAGCTGTAAGTTCGGCCGGGCCGAACTTTGAATACCCTCCACCATATGGTACAAATTTGGCAATTTTCAAAAAACTAAAATCCATTAAAAATTCTGTGAAAATCTTAAAAATACCGAATGTAGCCGGATATTAGGGTCTATACGACGACGTGTATCTGCATACGCAACTTTTGTCATAAGCCTGCACGAACAATTTTTTGTCACAGGCTGTAATATCCATTACGTACTTCAAATGCGAAAATTGAAACGATTCCGGTAAATAATGTCGTCAGAATCATCAAAATACCGAATATCCGGGGGTACCGTTATATGGGGGCTATACGAAGACGTGGACCTGCACAGACAATTTTCTGTCATAGGCTGTAGTAAAGTAATTAAAAATGTCTCTTAACAGTTGTTCCAGAAATAAACAAACAGAACAATGTTGACAACTTTGAGCATGCGAAAACCACTCACAAACACCTAATATAAGAGCGTTCGCTCAGAAATTTGGTATCGCAAATTGGAAATGGCAGCGTACGACGCCTTTCATTGTTTCATTTCATTTCATTGTTTTAAATACAGCGTTTAGATTAAAATATATGTAGTTTAAAAAAAGGTGGCACAATGTATAAAAAAGTGGCACAAAGATTCAAAAAAGTGGTTAATTTAGGATCAAAATAAAAAAGTGGCACAAAGGTATCAAAGACCAAAAAAGGTGGCAAAATTGATACTTTAGTGGCACAACGGTCACGCTGATTGCAGGCTTAGTTACGAATTGAAAAATGTGTAACAAGTAAAAAATGTGTATACAGTAAAAAACCAGTAAGGAAATTTAAAAAGTCGGGCGGGGCCGACTATATGATACCCTACACCACTTTGCGTATTTAGTAGAGCTCCCATAACCAAAAAACTATGTTGGGAATTTATATGAAGTAGATCATGAAGCATAGTTGATTGCGTATCATGATTTTAGAGTAGTCGGAATTTAAGAACTAAACCCAAATCTGAATTGATATTCAACAAAATTGACGGAGGCTGATATTACATATACGGTGGACAACAACCATAAAATCGAATGAAGATGTATAACGAAGGTCAATAAAATCTGAACCGATCTCGATAAAAGGCAGAGGTATTTTCAAGCCGTATCTGATATCTGGTGCCAAATATCTTTCTTGTGGAGTGCATATTACGCATGTGAAGGACTAAAACCCCCAAATCGGATGAAACATATATATGGTAGCTATAGCTATATCTTAACTGATTTCCATCAAATTTACTTGCTTCCAGACTGAATTCGGTCGGATGTGCCAAAATTCAGGTATTATGCATTTGGCAAGCGCATTATGTCTTTGTGCATTTGTTCGTAACATGGAGAAAGTAGCTAGATAGACCCATAGTTACTATTGAGGATCTTCCTAGAATCACTTTCTGAGTTGATTTATGCATGTCAGACCGTCCGTCGGTCCATTTATTCTTGTGAACAAAATGCAGGTCGCATTTATTATCAGACTGAGATGAAATTTTCCAAACAATATTTGTTTGGCCCAAGGACGAACACCATTGAAATTGGACAGAATCGGTTCAAATGTAGATATAGCTCCCATATATATCTTCAACCGATTTAGGGTTAATTGTGCACCAAATGGCCAATATCAGTCCAAATGATCTGCATTTGGGCACATCCGACCAAATTCAGCCTAGCAGCAAGTACATCAAATTTGGTAAAATCGGTTCAGATATAGCTATAGCTCCTATATATATGTTTCATCCCTCAGATTCATAATATGCATTGGACAACAATGATATTTGGTACCAGTTATCTTATAGAGCTGAAAAATACCTTTGCCAAATTTTATCGAGATTGGCTAAGGTTTTGATATAGCTCTCATATACAGGGTAAGATAAAAAAAGCTGCAGTAAAGTCCGGCGTCATAATTTTTGCATTTTTTTTTTTAATTTTATTGAATGAAGGCAAAATGTCGGATATAGCATCAAATTTTAAAATAAGTTTAGATTTGGCACGAATTATGGCCTTCAAACGGCCAATGAAACCGTCACACGTAGCCCGAATGTTGCTCTGCGTTATTTTGGCCCATTCCCGGCGAAGCGATTGCTTGAGGTGATCGACACTTTGGTATTTCTTAGTGCCAACCTTGCTTTCCAAAATTCTCCAGACACAATAGTCCAACGGATTGGTATCCGGAGATTTTGGTGGCCATTGTGCGCTGAAAATGAAGCGAGGAACCTCATTTTGTAACCATTCTTGGGTGTCGCGTGATGAGTGCGATGGTGCTGAGTCCTGTTGGAATGTCCAAGGTCTGCGGCCAAAATGTTTGTGTGCCAAAGCATTAATACAACCTCCAGAATATTTTGGCGATAATATTCGGCAGTCTAATGCCACGGTCGATTAATACGAGCGAATAGCGACCATCGACTGTTAATACAATGAAAACGACAACAATGAAAATTGGTACCAGATATCTTATAGAGCTCGGAAATACCTTTGCCAAATTTTTTCGAGATCGGCTAAGATTTGGATATAGCTCCCATATATATTCTTATTTCGATTTCAGGTTTTTGATGTACAAATAATTGCTAATATCAGCCCATATTGATAAAATTTCGGAACGTCTGTTTCCATTTTATGGATAATCCTTCTTGTAGTGATATCATACAGCCTATAGCAATGTTATTTGATATAAAAAATTAAAATGTCTCCATCAAATTCAATTAAAATCGATTCAGAATTGGATAGGCCTCCATATATTACTTCCCTCTGAAGTCAAATTATATTGCTCAAAAGCCAAATGTTGATAGGTGGTACCATCTGCTTCAAATAAATTCTTGGTAATTCTAAATATGCATAGTAGTCTAGGGTATCATATAGTCGGCCCGTCCGACATGACTTGACATTTCATTACAGGTTTAATATTTCTTCATTTCTTAATTCTTATCGAAGTCAAATCATGCATTATACAGCAATGTTGTATGATACTAGAGGTACAAAACTTTCCGTCAAATTTGTTGAAAATCGATTCAGAGTTGGATATAGTTCCCAAATTGTGAATTGTGAAATTGTGTGATACTAAGGTTCATAGTTGGTATGATCTACTTCACATAAATTTCCAATATAAACCTTTTTTGGTTACGGGAGCTTTACTATATACGCATAGTGGTATAGGATGCCATATAGTTGGCCTCGTCCGACTTTTGATCTTTTCTTACTGGCTAAA